GTTGTATGAAAAAGATTAAGAATAAGGGATTGATAAAAACTAATTGACACTAGGACGATACAAAGCGAGGAAATGGGAAGGCTACTTAAAGATGAATGGATCTGTTTGCATTCCTGTACGGATTAGTGCGGATGTGGACTGAAAAGAACGAAAATGCTGCTAAAAAAGCACGATGAAATGAAGACACATGATGACGAAATCGCGGCTGCTTAGAGCTCGACTGAGTAGGTGTCAATATTAGCAGCGTAAAGGAATCCAAATTAATCTGAAAGTCAGCAGCGACTAAAAATTCATTTCCAGATTTATTTGTATCATAGCGATAGGAAGTGTATTCTCAATTCTAACGACGGCGGGCAATTTAATGGTTATGGTGAGCTTCAAAATTGACAAGCAGCTTCAGACTATAAGCAATTACTTTTTATTCAGCCTCGCTGTCGCCGATATCGCTATTGGTTAGAATTTTTGCAGCTGCCGAAAGAAAATGATCATTTGTCAGTTGCACGGCTGTTCTATAGGCAAGCGTCTAGAATCTGAAAGAGAGCAGCCCTTTAACGTACCCTCTTCGTTTGAAATTGTAGCTCCACCAAGAAGCCTCGCTTTACACTTTTTCAACAATAACACTCGAATTTTCCAATCGACCATAACTTCTGAGCAGCTTTTCATGACCGGCTGGCTACTCACTGCTGCTACACAACTTCAAGTTTGAAGTCTCCTCACAAATTCTTAATTTACTCGCAGAGTTACAGTCTAGCTACCACGGTGATTGGAAAGCCGCCTTATCCTTGCCTAACTTCTAGCATTCGAACCGGAGTGGTGAAATACGGTAAATTAACAAAAATGGATTCCAGGGCTTGTGTCGATTCCATTTATGACATATTACATGGCGGCGGGCACAAGGTGGGGTATTGGCTATGCAATGTGCCAATTTTGGTTATGCCTCGATTTTATGATGTCAAATGCTTCCGTACTGAATTTGTTGCTTATTTCGTTCGATCGTTACTTCTCGGTCACTAGGCCGCTAACTTATCGTCCAAGGTTCCAGTTCTTTTTCCAGCTTCGGCCATGGCGGTCATCAAGTAGTAAACACAGCGGCAGTTTTTGGCAACGGCCTTAGAGATGGATAAAACCACCTAAAAATTGCAGAAATCGTCTAGAGGCTTAAGCGTCTCCTAGCTCATAAAGCTTACCTGGCATTTTTCAACATTCACTGTCTGCAGCAACGGTGTTGTCGTTGCTGATACTGTTAATTTAGTAAATTATTAATTGTGACAAAACCAGGATATAAGGCTGTTTAAATATATAAAACATAACGGAAGTGTACAAAACTTGATGGACCAAAGTTGCTTCAAGTCGCGCAGAATTTGGCACTAAAGCAGTCTTGTTGAAAAATCGAAGCCAGATTTAAAGAAAATAATGAATTAAAAAGTGTAAAAGTTGGTGCATTGCAACATTTGAACACACTAAAACAAAACTGTATAGTATGAAACGCACACGCCAATACCTTTACGGATCGAATCATTCACAACTCGACATTCCAATAAACTGAAATGTACAAAACTTAATATGTTAAAACATTTTAGTGAATTAATATTTAATAGACGAAAACATTTTGATGAGCTTCAGAATCGCTGTGCTTTTCACTTGCCGTTTTTTTTAGTTTTTCTGTTGTTTATAATACGTCGCTGTACAATGCAAGCAAAAAGTTTTTGCATGTATTTAATTGATAAGACAATTTGAATTGCAGGAGGACAGCGAAGAAGGCATTTATGATGATTGCCAGTACTTACATTGCCTCCGCGATGCTCTGGCCGCCATGGATCATTAGCTGGCCTTATATTGAAGGTTCTCCCGGTTTTTGATTTACTTTTGGTGAAAAACTAGTGCGGTCATAACAGTTATAAACTAATGGAAATCATAAGTATAATCCATGGGCTAAAATAATAGAATCAAAAAACTCCTTTAACAATCGCTTATCGTGAAAACCAACGCATTCATGTGCTCATGTGTTTTCACAATAAGATACTGCGGACAGTGAGATCCAGTAGACCAACTGGCGAGTGCATACATGTGTTCGAAAAAAAATGACCCCTGAATCGACTTAGCGCACGAAGCTTTTTAAAATTTTTGATATTAATGGCTACTCCTGAGTTACGATATCTTTATAATATATGTAGATCTAATTTATGTATAAGCAGACAGACTCGAATGCTAACGTCAAATTATTCAACCCAAAACAAGTCGCTCAGCAAGTCATAACGCCACAATTTCGAATTAGCTTCATTTCGACGTTGTAAAATCAATATAAGTTTGAATCTTACAAAACAAGACACAGTGAGGCTGTAAGCTTTATTTCATGTTATTTAAGTTGCATGGTTTGATGAAGTAAACTTTCGAAAAACCAGCTTTTCTGGCTTTGAGTTGTGCCATTTTGCCGCAGCCTTGGTGCTCACCCCCTAAGTGATGAGAATTGAAAGCTAATTCCAGATTTACAATCTTCATATTATCACCTGGTAGGGAACATACTCCGAAATATCAGACTCTCAACTTGCTTAATCGTTCAGGTGAATTAGCCCGAACGAGCACCCACACATATGCATGCATGCGTAGACACATATATGCATACACACACAGTGCATGCTTAATTCATTCAAGTACTCATTTCCATTTTTATGCGTTTTTGCTGTGCAGCGCTATAGCAGCGCTATAGCGCTGCTACAGCCAGCA